GTTCTGTTCATTTCAATCAAGGGATTCACACACACACACACACACACACACGCGCACACACACACACACACACACACAGTGTGATAGATGAGCTTGGCAATCCACCCTAATCTCAATAATGATACCAACTCCACAGTTCACATGAGGACACACAGTAAACCACTTACACACAAACACATTACTGGAGCAATGAAGTTTTCCATACTCAAAAAAAGTCAAATTAGATTTGACTGCTGCAATAGTATATAAAAGTAGCTTCCAGTCTAATTCTGTTCTCACAGATCTACCAAGAATTGGATGCACGGCATCTGCTGTATGCGAAAATCTGCTTTGCATTATAAATGAGTTCAGCAGGCATGAACAATAGCAACATGAGTTTGAATTGTGAACCAGGAATATTCAGGACATCATAAATGCATTTGTATGAACATACACTGAGCATCCTGATCAAACTTTTTACTGGAAGTGAGTCACTTAATGTCCTGCTGTCAAACAAAAAAACGTGCATATGTACACCGAGTCATTTGTTGTGCGTCATTGGTGTTGGAAGATGGTCATTTTAGGAGCTCCACCCCTGACAGAACAAACACAAAACATATGCTAACAGCTGAGCAACAGCAAACAGCCCACTGCTATAGGAGCACAGCAGATCCACTGGGAATTTGTTATTTAAATGGCTGTCAGCTTCAGGCTGAGAAATCACTCCGTTCTGATATTTCAAAGGCTGGGAGGGTCGCAGGTTCAACGGACCCTGTTTCCGTTCATGCAGACGGGCTGTCATTACTGATAGACATCAACCTGTTCCTGAAGGCTTCCTAACACTGGAAAAACACTTCTGCCTTTACACATTTACCACGTCAGGTACAAGATAAACAGGTTTAAAGGCAAACAGAAAGAAAGAAAGGAAAAGGATGTTATGATGTTAAAGCATGAAAATTGTCATTATTTACTCACTCATACCCTGGTTCCAATCCTGTTGTTATTTCTCTGTGGAACACAAACAGAATGTTTGGAGGGAGAGAGAAAAAAAAATCCTTGACACTGCTTTAATTTCCTATACAAATATTAATAATGCATATTTTAGGACTGTTAAGATTATTTTCACTGTGATAAATGTATTTCTTAATTTCTTGACAGTTATGGAGACACACACACACACACACAAATCCAGAAGAACTGTGACAAAGTCTCCAAGATGCTTCAAGAAACCTATACCTGCAAAGCTACAGTACTGTTAAAAGTTTTAGGCACTTGTGTAAAAATGCTGTAAAATGAGGATGCCGTCAAAAATAATGTCATAGATTTTCTTTATTAATTAACTATATTAACTAAATTAAATCAACATTTGGTGTGAGCATCCTTTGCGTTTAAAGCAGCTTTTGCCCTTGGTGCACTTGCGCATAATTTTTCAGGTAGCTGTGCAGGTAGGTCTCTTGAAGCATCTTGGAGTCCTACTGACACACTACAGCAAAAGATAGAAATAACTGACGTAAAACCATTTTTTAGATGGTGAAAATACTAGTGTTCTAAAAATTTTGGCCACCTCTCTCTCTCTCTCAACAAAACACACACACACACAGAGAAATATATATTATAAAAATATGATTTAAATGTTAAAAAAATAAGAAAATTACAAACAATATCTAAATGACATCTATTATTTATTTGTTTCTTTATGACTATATATAGAATAAAAATAAAAATACATTTAATAGTGGTTGCTACAACACACACGACAGCATTTTAGTGCAACGTTAAAAATAAAAAAAATGACGAGTAACAATGACGAATAAAAAAAGATTACGAGATTAAAGTCATAAGATTTCGAGAAAAAAGTCAAAATGACAAGAATAAAGTCGAGATATTTTGATAAAAAAGACAAATTACGAGAATAAAGTCATAGCAATATGAGAATCAAGTCAATAATTTGAGAATAGTCAAAATTACCAGAATAAAGTTGAAATATTTTGAGAATAAAGTCAAATTACATAATTATGTATTTATTAAGTATTAATAAATATGTATTAAGTATTGCTATGCCTTTATTCTCGTAATGTTGACTTTTTTCCTCAAAATATTTCAACTTTATTCTCGTATTGCTATGACTACTGAAAATATTTTGAATTCATTCTTGTAATTTTGACATTTTTCTCAAAATATTACGACTTTAATCTCGTAATGTTAATATTTTTTTTTTTTAAGTGGCACTAAAATGCTGTTGTACATACATACATATATATATATATGCGTGTGTGTGTAAAATTCATATATAGTTGTAGTTAATTTTATAAGATATTTGTTTATACTTACATATGTAATATGAATATGTATTATACATATGAAAACAATTAAAAAATATATAAAGTGGTGCCTTATAACAATAAAAAATAATTAAAAAATAAATGTATATTATAATAATATTATATTATGAATATAATTTTAAAAACACATTAAAAAATAAAAATGGTCCCTATGACATGAATGCTAAATTCAGGGTGATTTAGATTGTTATAACTTGAGTGCGAGATGTCATTTTTTAATCTGAATGCAAAAAAAATTGAGATTAGAAGTGAATAATCAGCACTGAATCACACATAAATATCATACAGCTTATAATAAGGCTTGGATAAGTTGGATTTTTTATCCTTTTTGGGCTTGACAACTGTCCTCGTATGGAAAACATTCCTCAAAATATCTGCTAGTGTTTCAACATCAGGGTGAGTAAACAATGACAGAATTCATCTTTGAACAGTTCCATCAAGTCTGAGATGGCATCAGAGTTATTCTGGGAAATCCAGCGTGAGCCGAGAGAAAGTTTCATTGTGTGCTTGTTGACAGGAGTGATAAACAGCAGCTGAAGGAGGCTGTGATGAGAGGCAGCTCCACGGCCCTGAATGAGCTCCAGCGCACAAGCAGCTGGACGAACGAGTGAAACACAGACCTACGTGCCAGAGAGCACAATGCAGACGTGTCACGTGACTGCTGACTACTCATTCATCTTTAATGACATGCATTGTTGAGTTCCTACCTGATCCTGTTGTCTATTCTTCAAATGGAATTTCTGAGGTAATCAATCGTAAAGATGCCACTGAATTTAAATGAACCATAATGAGGCTCCTATTATGACAGTGTTTCAGACTTTTAATGGCCCCAAAAGCATTTGGACATTTAGGCCGCACTTAAAGCCAACATAAAACACTGTTTGTAACTGATTTTACCCAAGGTAGATGTGAAAAAACGTTGAGCGGGAGCTAATTTTAACAACTAAATTAATTGGACTGTGAAAAGAGTGAGTTACGTACAGAATGGAGTACAGTGATTGGAGAACGGGTTAAAAATAAGATTCCTGAAAAGAAATATTTAGATGTACATTTTGATGAAAGATTACAAAGACAAAAATGCGTTTCATTGGAATATGAACCAATGAATCAATCAAAATAACATGATCAATAATGTGTATTAAACTCTCAAATTTGACTGTAAAAATGTCTAAAATTAAAGAAAAATCTGTAAGATTTTTTTCAGTGTTCTCTTGTGCTTACCGATTTTATTTGATGCATTTGATGCACAGTACAAACACTAATATTATGAAATAATATTACAATTTAAAAACACAGTTTTCGATTTGAATATATTTTAAAAAGTAATTTATTCCCAGTGATTGCAAAGCTATCAGCTAAAAAAAATAGATTTTTTTGGTAATAATATAAATGTCTTTACTGTCATTTTTGATCAGTTTAATGCATCCTTGTGGATTAAAATTATTATTATTTTTAAATCTTACTGACAACAAACTTTTGAGTGGTGGTGTATAAATAAAATAATACATACTTATAAAAAAAAAAAATAAAAAAAAATTTTTTTTAAACAAGTGGCATCTGCAAGCTAATTATGCTGACCTGTTCTCAAAATGAACTTTTTCCAAATTATTTTATCATTTGAAACTAAATAAATAACATTTAATTGAGCATTTCTGCTAAAAATATGTAATTAAAAACAATTAACAACATGGCTCAGTTACTGAATGAGACATTTGAGGTTTGGGGTTTTAGTGCCTTTAAACCCAAATGTATGACTTTTACTGGCTGTTGCACACATCTAGCATGCAAGACTAGTTAGTGGGCGATGTGCCATTTTAGGTCATGTTGCACGCCATCAAGTCAGGAGTTCTGGGCATCAGAGAGAAGATGTTTGACAGCTGCCAATCATCTACGTTTACGCTTACTACATCTACGTTTAACTTCTATGAACAGCACTGCTTCTGTCTTAACCAGTCCTCCGTCAACTCGTATTAGTAGAGCGTTCACTCATACACGCAGTGGTCTGGATCGAACCAACTCAAGTGCTTCCTCACACTGGGGTGCGTCTGTCAGATCAGCCTCAGGTAGATCTAAAAACAGACACATGTCAATCAAAAGTCCTTGTATACCTGAGCATCTGGCCATTTCAGGCCAACCAAGATTCCCTCAAAAACAACAAAAGCCAGCGGCTCGAAATCACGCAAACGTGGTTAAAATTAGCCCCTGTCCGTTTTACATTCAGTCCGGGTCGAGATCCCAGCTGAGTGTCTGGCTGCGTCTCTCTCAGGTCCTCCTCCTACACACCAAATTTCCATAAGAATGCAGCACGCTCTGCATATCAATCCGAACTCTTAATTAAAGAGCTGCTATATTCCTGCTGGCGTCACATACACGGGAAGTGCGCAGTAGACCCTTTCTCCCCGTTCTGATGGCCATTTGGAACGCAAATGAGGGAGGCGATCACACGCTCATTTGAGGGACACCTGATGGAGAACACTCAGTAAACACTCGAATGCATGCAGCCAAGTGTGCGTAAAAAAACCTCAGCGCACTAATCTTTTAGTTTGAAGCATAACACAAATTAAGTAACGTAAAATATATTGGAAACTATTCCATTAACTACAGTATGTTGTGCATTTGGAAATATCCAATTAAATAAAATCAATTACTCCATACAAAACACAATCTACAAAACATCTTTTGTTTACTAAATAGAAATGCTGGTGTATACAAACAAAACGATAATATACACAATTGAAACAAATATTTTAAGATATAACGAAAGCCATTTTATTTTTTGTTGTATCAAAACAAAAGACGAGTCCTTTTATAAGGAGATGAACTTATCTCCAGTCTTTTGGGTCGGAGAACTTCGCTGAAGAATGTTTCCTTTTAGATGCTTCAGCTTGACACATTGGTTGAAATAGAAAAGTCCTTTTTTATAATGTCTGCCAGTTTCGGTTCCACTTCTGACAACAAGCTAACCAGGTGCTGGACCTGTAGATGAGATGAGAAAAGACGAGAAGCTCTGTGATCATTGAGGGCCTGTAGGAGCAGCGAGAAAGACAAAACAAAACAAAAAAAAAAAGAGAAGAACGTACCGCCGTTATATGTTGAGGTACGAGGGTGCCAACAGCAGACACACAGCTTCTCTCTGTCAAACACCCTTCCTTGACTATAGATGACAACAGATCCTGAAGATTAAAGGGAATTTTCAATCAATTAATATGTAATATATTTAACATTTGTATGTTTTAATTTAGTCATTTTTACATTTACTTTATATTTTCATAATACAATAAATTTTTTTGGAATGTGCTTGTATTTAATATACTATATATATATTAATTTAAAATTGTATAATTTATTATTTTTTAAATATAATATTTTTTATATTTTTATAGTGCTGCCAAACGATTAATCACGATTAATCGCATCTAAAATAAACGTTTTTGTTTACATAATATATGTGTGTATACTGTGTATATTTATTATGTATATATAAATACACACACATGCATGTATATTTCAGAAAAATAGGTTATGTTTATATATTAAATATATTTATTCATAATTAGTGCTGTCAAACGATTAATCGCATCCAAAATAAAAGTTTTTGTGTACATAATATTTATGAGTGTACTGTGTATATGTATTATGTATATAAAAATACACACAAATACAGTATATATTTAAGAAAAAAGTGTTATGTTTATATATTAAAAATATTTATATATAATATAAATTATATGAATATAAATATATACATGTAAATATTTTCAAAATATATACTGTATGTGTGTGTGTATTTATATATACATAATAAATATAAACAGTACACACATATATTATGTAAACAAAAACTTATTTTGGATGTGATTAATCACGATTAATCGTTTGACAGCACTATTCATAATATAAATTATATGAATATAAATATAGACATGTAAATATTCTCAAAATATATACTGTATGTGTGTGTATTTATATATACATAATAAATATAAACAGTACACACATATATTATGTAAACAAAAACTTATTTTGGATGTGATTAATCACGATTAATCGTTTGACAGCACTAAATATAATATATTATAACATGGTATCAAGTTAGAATTTAATAATTTATTACTATTTTGTAAACTGGATAGCTGCCAGTTTCACCTTATTCAGTTGCATAAGGATGGCTGAAAGGAACTCTGCTGTGGTTTCGACTAAAGCCTTGAGCTGTTCATCTTCCTCTTGCTTCACTTCTTCTTTCTGACTCTCTTCCGATTCGGAGTTTCCAGCTGTTCGGCTCTGACGCCATTCAGTATTGAACTGCAGAATGCGAATAAGACTTCCTAATAATTCTGTACCTGTTAAGAATAAACACACATTATGAAACCGAAACAGCAATACGATAGCAAACCTTAAACAAACAACACAATGCCTCTCATGAAGCAATGAATCTGATATGTTAAAAGTGTGTGTTTCGTACTGATAGCTGTCTGCAGGCTGGAGTGTAACGCTGAGAGTAAGGCGAGCGCTGGGGCCAGGAGAGCTTTCTGCTCCTGCAGGATGAGAGGAGGATCGTCTGCTTGACATAAATCCTCACATACTATCTTACACACAAACATCCACACCGCACGACCACAAGCTCCATCTGATACTGTAGACAAGGTAAAAACAAGAAATCATTGCAAATCATCATATTAGAATGATTTCTGAAGGATCATGAGACACTGAAGACTGGAGTAATGAGGCTGAAAATTCAGTTTTTGGATCACAGGAATAAATTACATTTTAAAATTGTTGTAATAATAAATTATTGTAATAATACTTCAAAATATATATATTTATATATAATATAAAATATAATAATATAAATGTATATACATGTAAATATTTTCAAAATATATACTGAATGTGTGTGTATTTATATTTATACATAACAAATAAACACAGTACACATAAATATATTATGTAAACAAAAACTTTTATGTTGGATGTGATTAATCGCGATTAATCGTTCAACAGCACTAGAAAAAAAAAAAAGAACTATTATATATTATTTATATAATAAATATTAACAATAAAAAGGTTAAAGTTATTAAGTAGTAGTAGTAGTATAAATGTGTAATTCATTGCTAAAAAACAAAAATCACACATGAAAAAAATAAATAAATATGCATAAGTTTGGGGGAAAAAACAAACAAAAATTGCTGCTAAATTTCTTAAGAGTTCCAGGCACTTTTGTGCCTATTTGTTGAAAGCATCATTAGCAACATTTGTGAACATCACTGACCATTGGTGGAGCTGCTCATGATGAAACACAGACTGCAGCACACCGCCGGCTGCTGCCGTATCCTCTCCAGCCACAGAGGGGCGACATCAGGCTGAGACAGGCACGTTAGCAGGAGCCTGAGGAGGCCACAGTGTTGCAAGTCACATACCCACATTCAGTAAAATGCAGCATGTATTGTAAAAGTTTTCTTCGAATTTTGTAACAGGGCTTTATCAGCACTGACCTGCAAGTCTCCAAGAGCGTAGGTGGATCATTGTCCCCGAGCAGAAGAAGTAACACAGAGCTGAGATATACAGAGAACATGTCAGACATGAATTAGTAGTATTGTATTTACAAAAGTAGCTGAATTATTCTGAAGTTAACAGAGAGTTACCATAGGTCAGAGTTCTGGCTGAGAGACACACATGTGTCATGGAAACAGGCCATATTACCCAGAATTCCAACACAGATTTCCTGTAACAGAAGCTCTGAGTAATTATATGTAGTCATAGGCATACAAGCATTATGTAAAGCAGTTACAGTGGTAAAATGTCTATGCATACCGTGAGCCGCGGACTACGTGACTTTGCGATCACACCCAGCAAGATGTCTTGAGCTTTGAACTCCTGAAGAAAAACAGCCACATCCTAGAGAGAAAACACATGTAATGTATATGTAGATGGTGGGCATGGAGCAGGGGGATGAATACAGTGCGTTTCAGTTGACCTTATCCATAGCCATGTCCCAAACTTTACACAAGTCCTCCTCCAGATCATCTGTCAGTTCCACTGAAGAATCACTCGGCCCACTTTCCTGATCTGTCACCATCTAGAAGGTAATTGAAGTATATATTAAGAAAGAAATGAAGGAATTGCACAGCTTCAAGAAAACTTGTTGATAGATGGACGGATGGATGGATATATAGAAATAAAAAAGGGGGTAAAATTATATTTCATTTGAAAACACATACAACACATATACAAAGAAACACAAATGATTTCATTTTATTTTTATATGTATTTTTATGTTTTATTAATTTAATCACAATTAATCGTTTGACAGCACTAATATATATATATACATATAAAACACAAATTACATTACATATAATTCATTTCACAAGTTAAAAAAAAGAGTAAAGTATTATATATTAAAAGTACATTAAAATATAGTTATGCATCTAAATAAACTATAAAATTACAGTATAGATGCAATATATTATAGTTAATGTAATATAAAAATATATTTTAGTGACCCTTTTAGTAGTTTAAATAATGTATAAATGATTTTTTCATATTTATATAAATTTACTTTAAAATGATATTTATATAATTATGATAAAAATTAAAAAGACAATTAAAATCAAAAGGGGTCAAATTATATTTAAATGTAATTAAAAATAAAAGTTTTTTTTTTTTAATGTATTTTTAATAAAACACAAATGGCATGTTTTTAAAATTTAGATATCGTCTTTCAACGTAACAGGTATGTTTTTGTAAAAATGAAACAACATAATCTGACCTGTACTTATTAAAACATCTAAAAGAAAAGTGATCATACTACATTTTATTATATTTTAAATGATCCAAAACTTTTTATATTTTAAATTATTAAAAGTGGCAAAGATTGTTAAAGATTTAAATTGACAATTAATTAGTATTTTGGGGGCTGCACTGTGATCTTCTTGTTCTGATATGCCTGACAAGATGCTTGTTATGTGGAGACCAATGATACAGAAGTCTAGCATGCATGGTTATACCTGAATAAGGCGGGTCAGAGTGCTGAAGAGCCAGTGCTTGCTGTACACGGTCTCCCCGATGGCGTCCGCCTCCTCAGTCTCATCTTCCTCGGGTGGAGGCGATGGGTTGCGGTCCATCACCGGCGAACCTGCGGTGGAGGATCCACAACTGTCTCCATCCACCTCCTCCTGAGAGCATCTGTCTTTGTGCTCTGATGAAATCAATACATGACATAAAAGCATGAGGGATGAGATAAAATGCATGCATAAACCTCCAATACACAGCATAAAACATATCATATGCATGCAAAAAAAAAAAAAGTCTCAGATAAAGTATAAATGTATACACAAACCCCACATGCACACAAAACGCATACATAACTTGCATGACTACATGTATGCATTAACTTCTCATTCATTCATGCAAAGCCTGACCTAAATGCATGGTTAAATCGAGTTACTGTAATTAACGCGTAAGTTATAATATTGAGTTGCGTACAAGACACGAGTCCAACACGCTTTAGCAACATAAGTGTGAAATGCAAACTTACAAAACCAGTTACGCTGTATGTTTAAAGCTCGAAAGGTTTTGCAGGTTTATTTATATAATACCGGTTCAAAAACGTGGCAAATATTGATTTATTAAAATAAACATTCACTGCAGAGAGGATCAACACCCACATATCCTGACTTACCCATTAATAATGACTTTTCACAACCAACGCTAAAATGCTCAGAAATATCAATTCGAAAAATGCATTTTAAGCTTCATGGTTTAACGTTTTGAATAAGCACATAAAAGCGAATACTTCCGCTCACAACTCCACAGAGCATGATGGGAAAGAATAAGGAAAATAAGAGTGGATAGAATGGCAGTTGCACGAAACGTCTAAACATAAATGGGCGGAGTTTGTGTCCCGGTTTGACAAGCACAAGTTTGACAAGGGAATAAATAGTATTTTTCATATTTCTGCTCTACAACATCTATTTTTTTTTATTCAGTGTCTGTAAATGTTTAAGTGTAATTATTTAGCTATATATTATTGTCTAGAACAGGACGGAAGCACATTTTCACAAGGTACGAATCTGATTAGGCTAAACTGGTGCTTTAATATAGTCTTTGGTCGGATCTCTGTATGTCAGTCACCAGTTTTCGACATGAATATTTAAACGGCTACACTTTTTTTTAACTGTAAAATGTCTCTGTGGGACAAAAAACCTGATTTGAATGCGGGTTAATGAGGGTTTCTGAGCCTCCATGCGCCCCCTGGAGGAAGAATCCTTGTTGTCACTTTAAAACGGTTACAGCTTTTGTTGTCGAAAGGTAATCTTTTTTACACTGTCTGTGTGTTTTATATCTTTATCATTAATTGACTAATGACCTAAAACAGTGCAGAATATTTCTTATATTTACTATTTTACCTCATAACTTTAAACTTTTTCACGTTTCAGTGTGGTCTCAGACTTCTGAACCCCACTGTATTTGTACAAAGTAATGTTCATTTCTGTAGGCCTGTGTTACATTCAGATTTGCTATGGATTGTAAATTATTGTAATCCAAGGTTTTGTCCTCAACTCGATGGTTAGATTATACTCTTTTCCACTTGATCTCAGTAGTCCTATCTAATAATCGAGGCAATGTACTGCAGTCTTACACTGTATATACTGTACACAACATAGCCTATATGTCAAATGAGGCAGTGTCAATAGGAACTAGAGGCAGTACAACCAGTGCTGGTTTATCTAATCAATGTTTTATGTTTGTTCCCTCCCTGTGCCAACAATGTGCCCGGTTTCATAAAGACATTTTCTGAAGAACAGCTGTTTCTTAGACTGTTAACACATGCTTTGCAGTGTTACAAAAAGGTGGAGCCATCATCTCACTTTACATGCACATCAAACCTGATGTTTGCCTTTGGAGGAACTTTTATACAGTGGTAGAGAGAATGCTGCAACTGAAAAAACATACAAATAGAAAAAGAAAAAAAAACACCAGCAAATTAAGAAAACATCTTCATCAGTTTGACTCACAATGCAACCAAATACAGAAACACACTGCAAAACAAACAAAAAGAAAAAAAAAAAGATTTCAGTGTTGTTCTTTTTGTTTTCTGAAGATTACATAAAAATTGCACTGGAAACTTTTTATTGCCTTTAACATTTATTTGCTTGACTTTGCATTTATTCTTGTCCCAAGCACATATTTTCACTGCAGAGCCAAATACATCCCCTCTCTGGACATAATGGGTGGAGATTTACCTAGTCCAGCTCCACCTCTATGGGTGGGCTTAGGGTGTGGTTGGGGTGTTTAGCTCCACCCATTACGTCCAGCAAGGGGACCTGGTCTGCATTTCCCAAAGGCATGGTAAGCCTAAGTTGATCGTATCTCCATTGGTGACAATGGTTCTACGATCAACTTAAGCTTACGATGCTTTTGGGAAACGCAGCCCTGGATGTCAAGCTCCACCCATTGGCTCTGCAGTGAGCAGCCTCTTCATATTTTTAATCTTAACATATTAAAATCCATATAGAGTCAAATAAATAAAGTTTTTTTGAGTAAAAGTGATTTATAAGGAGACAAAATTGCCAGTTATTGCCAGTCATTTTCCTAGGTCCACATGGGTCAAGCATATTTCAAGAAATACGCATAAATGCATTTTATTTTATTTTTATTTTTAAAAAATGTTAATATTTTTTTTATCAGCATCATGTTTGTCTAAAGCCTGTTCATATGAATATAGTTATTTTTACTGAAACAGTCAGACATTTCTTTGTTACCATTTGATTTTTCCTCAATAAGACTCCTTTATTTATTTTATTTTATTTTATTTTAGTTTGAGTATCATCTCTATATTATTTAGAAGCTTTTATATTCAAGACACAATTTCTGAAATTTGAAATGTATTAGAATTTCAGCTTGTGCATCACATATTGAGTTTAAAAAAAGATTTTAGATTAAGAACTGTTTTTTTATTTTTTTTATTTTAAACAGTAGGCTTTATGTTTCCTGGGGATTGTAACCTTAACAACGGCATCTTTATTTTCTAAGATTGAAGACTTCAGATATACCAAGACTGGCCACTCATATGAATGGGAGAAAATCAGGTTTGCCAGGTTTTCAGAACAAAACCCGCCCAGTTGCTACTCAAAACTAGCCCAATCGTGTTTCAAGGGGGGGTCCCCCGGCATTCCGGGGGTAAAATACATGTTTTTTGGGGGGTTGCCCCTGGTAAAATTTGCATTCCAGGGGCCTTTGCAGCAAATGGCCAATAATTGAAATGGCAAAAAAGCATGATGGACAGAACAAAAAGTCAAGGGAGCAGTCATGTGTGACCTTTATAATGATCTAATGCCTAAATATTGTTAAAATGCAGTTCTAAATTTGGTCAATTATATTCATTAAGCACTTTTTTGAGTAAAAAAAAGGTGGGGAGCAGAGCTTATTGCACAGCATGACAGTGTTTAGATGAGGTGTAACTAGTTTACGCCACAGGTAGCTGACCTTTCAAGAACTTTTCAGTGAATGATTTAACATTATGCAAGACACAGCAATGTGAAGTGAAATGCTATATAAGGCAGTCTGTTTATTTATCCTTATGAATATGGTTGCTTCCAACAATGAATTTCAGTCTGCAAGTGATATTCATTCAAGTTGTATTGTGTACTTAGTATATGTACGGAGGGAAACTGCATCTGTATGAGTTTTCCCGGGCCTGGCCTGTGCGAAGTAAAGTAGGGATCTCACTTCACAACCTTTGATGGGAAAGAATTCCTTTTCCATGGAGACAGTAATTATGTGCTTTTAAAAGTGTGTTCTCAATACTCAGACTGATACTTCCTCATTTCCTCTCTCCCTCATCCTCCAGCCTGTGCCCCAGAAACTGATCAAAGTCAGTGGACTTGAAGGACATCTCAATTCCCTTATTGCACTGTGGCAAGGTGAGAAACAAGGAGTAAGGAAGCTTCCAGAGGAGCTATGAGTGAGGATACACATGTCTATATAATGTGGAAGTCTTGTTGAAAAACCTGATGCGTTTAAAGGACATTTAAACTTAAATAGCTGATCTAGTTTGAACCTGCTGATGAGATTTCCTCCACTTTGACCGTAAAATGTTATGAAACATTCAATATTTTTAATTAAAGTATACTTCACCCATTCAGTTTGCGATCCTGAGCAATGTCTTGTGAAGAAATGTGATGTGGGATTTGAATTAGCATTAAACTGAAGACAGTTGCTGTTGATATGATGGTGAGTAAATCATGACAGAATTTTCTCTGCAAGCAATTTCCAAATTTTTTTTTTTTCAGTGTCCAAAGACGTCTGTGTGTACAATAACAGTGAGTACAAGGTGAACTGATGGGTTCATTTGTTTATATTAATGAACTATCATATACAATTAAGTGTAAGCATTTGAATTATCATTATATAGTCAAAATATAATAAGGGGTTCACTCCAAGGGGTTTAAATATGTGAAAAAATAAGGAGAGTGCTGCTGTGGATCATGTAGACAAGTGGCCTGCATTTATGCTGCACCAGACAAAACCAGACATGTTTTCAAGGTACATTTCTTCCTTCTTTCAGTTCATCAGACAAAGCATCTGCTCTGCTTTTCAGTCCTCATAGAGTCTGTCTGTCTTTTGTTAGTTTGGATAAGTCCACAGTTATAAATGTGAAACTGTTCCCTGTCATGAAATTGATGGCTCGTTTATGACTGAAAGGAGATCTGAGAAGTGCCCTTATTTGAGTTCACTTGACTGTAAACCTGTCATTTTCTGACGCAGTACAGTTTTTATTAATTGATTGAACAGAGGTTATGTAGCTTTGTTCACCAGCACACACAGCGTGAGCCATTATGTCTTATTCATGGACAGATGATAAGAACTGGATTCACAAAAAAATCCAACTTTAAGAAGTTCTTTACAAAGATTTTTAACAACAATCTGTTCATGAAGTTATAAAATAAGTGGGATGTTCTTTTTAATGAGTCTTTAATGAGTTTTTAATGAGTGAATAATTAAACTACAAACTTCTTTTCAAGTGCTTTGAATATGTGAAAGAAGACGGAGAGTGCTGTGGAACATGTAGACAAAGATGTTGTATTTATTTATAATGCACCAGACATACCCTCCAGGCACATAGTCGAACTTTCTCAATGTTTTCTTAATTCTTTCAGTTCATTACACAAAGTATCTGTGCTGTTTTTCAAACCTCATATAGCCTGTTTAGGTTCAAGAGGCGTATAAGTTCAAATGTACGACAGGTACCTGCAATGAAGTTAATGGCTCACTTGCGATTGTTAAAAAATGCCCCGACTTTAATCCAAATGACTGTGTGCCTGTAAGCTTGTATTTTGTATTACTGTTGCTTTCTGCTGCTTAAGTTTGGATGTGTGGCTTTGACATATTATAGTTTTTTTCTTTTCTCCAGACTAAGGTCAATGCTGTCAAAACAATTAACACAGCCAAAGAAACATAACCCTAATTTAACAAAACAAAAAATTGCAGTTGGGCTTTTTTAATATATCAAAGAAGGGGAAAATTCTGCCATCATTTGCTCACCCGAATGTTGTTCCAAACAGTGAAAGGGGTTTATTTATTAAGAAAAAAAAATCAAAAGTAACCAATACAACGTGTGTGCTTTATTCTTCTTTACAGTATGTGAGGAACAGACCAAAATTTAAGTAGTTATTTCCCAAAAACCTTGTTTGAGAGCCACGATCAACATTCACTTTCATTGTACAAAAAAGACCAGCTTGGAAAATCTGCTCTAAATAATAGCTCTCGTGTTTCATACAAGAGAGAAATTAATACCGGGTGAGTTACTGATGACACAATGG